TTCTGGGGCAATATATCGCACAACAAAAGGTTGTTATCGTGACAGGCCTATTTGCAGATCTGTTCACCCCAATCCCTCTAACTGGCACAGCTTTGCAGAAAATTACAGACAGTTAAATACATATTCCCTACCTTTTTTATGCTACGCCACAAGTAACAAGGGAACTTATAGTAATGTTAATATTTAGCCAGTCCCCAAACCCATTCACTCAAATGGCTTGGATGCGCAAAGCATTCACAGCTTACCCTGTTGAAAAAAACAGCATATGCTGGCTATGTTTTGAAGCATGGCAGCAGGTTTGAGCTGGTTTAAGCTGGTCCTGAGCTGGTTTAAGCTGGTCATGGTCAACTACAGTGTGTGCATAATTATTAGGCAAGCTGATATTCTGATCATATTTTTTTCCAAGCACATTTGACCAATTCCAAACCACATCAATCTTAATAACTTCTATTAATTTTGCATGTAATCATTTATAAGTGATATATAATTGTCCATGAAGGCTGGAAGTGAAAAACTCCTTATATTCAGGTGTGCAATGATTATTAGGCAGGTTTTCTTTTACAGATAAAATGAGCCAAAAAAGAGATTTAACTCAGACTGCAAGTCAAAAATTATTAAATGCCCATGAGAAGGATGCAATACTTATGCAATACTAGAATTTGCAAAGTTAAGGCATGACCATGGGACAGCAAAATGCTCACTGGGTCAACACAGTCAGAAAAAACAGGTGGAGAAGAAAAGACACACGTTAACTGCAAAAGAATTAGGAATTAATGTGAAGAATTAGGTGTGAAACCATTTAGCTCTATCCACTGAATCTCTCTCAAGGAAAAACAAATCTCATTCTAAGTTTGACAGTCTACTTCCCTATCCTCTATAATTTACTTTGAGCTTTGAGAAAGACTAAAAATAATGTCTGCCAGATTCAGCCCATCCACTTTCTAAAGTGTCAGGCCAAGACACGGTTTAAAATCAAGTTGCTCTTCTAAAGCCAAGCGCACACTTTAAGACTCTTTGTCTCTTGTTTTCTGTCATGTTGGTGCATGCCTTACACAACTGAATGCAGATTAGCCATGCTGGAAACACTGTCTTAGTGTTTTAGTACAGTGTTCTGTTTGAATTAGTGGATGCATTCCTTGTTAACGAAACTGAACATCATGAAAATCATTCGGTTCTGGAACCAGTTCTGAACAACAACCGGTTTTCAGCTCACAGCCCTACTGAGGGCAGATAAAGGACAGTGCAGACAGACATGGGGGGCTTGTGGAATCAGCCCAACCTCTAACTTATTCTGAAGTTTACACAGCCGGCAGACCTCGGCCTTCACACCTCCAACTGGCCCCACCATGCAGCTCTCGGTTAAAGCAAATGGAGATGAAAAGCTCCTGCAATGAGCTGCCTGGGATGAACAACAGAACACTGACATGCCCTTTAGAACAAAATAAGCCTACAGCGTGCAAGTGCAGGCATGACCGAAGAGGAGATGCCTTTGAAACAGGTGTGAGTGTGTTTGTGTGCATGTAAAGGGTTCGTGGGAAAATGGGTGACTGAGTAATTCTCGTAGTCTGACCAACCCTCTACAACCTTTCTCACACTTTCACACAAATTGCTTTCAAATTACGCAAAAGCTGCCTGTGAGCCAGTCAAAGCCTACCTCTGCACACATCTGTCCCACAGACTGATGCTCTTTTTCTCTTCGTACACTCTTAAAAATAAAGGTGCTTCACGATGCCATTGAACCTTTTTGTCTATATGGTTCCATAAAGAACCTTTAACATTCTTCAGATTATAAAAAGGTAAGAAAGAGATGGTTCTTTAAAGAACCTTTGACTGAATGGTTCTTTGTGGAACCAAAAATGGTTCTTCTATGGCATCGCTTGAAGAACCTTTTGAAGCACCTTTATTTTTAAGAGTGTACACTATCAGGCACTTGCTTGTCTTGACAGATACTCACTATGACACACACAGACCCGCTCTCCCAGGAATCCTGCTGGCCTGAGTACGCAAGGCTTGGGTAGGGTTGCACCAAACGTTTGTATGTTCTTTCTTAAAATGGGACATTCTCAGCAGGGGTTTAGCAGCTACTAGTTTTTTGTAAATACCTCTCTGGTAAATTTGGTTGCATCGTTTGCTTTTAAAGCAAAACTAGGTCGTAAAACCTCAGTGAAGTAGTGTGTAATCATATAATATGACATTTACCTTTATTAATCCAATGAGCAGCCGAAAAAACTGAGCGTTTCAGTCTTACCCATGTAACTCTTATTGGTAATAAATCAAATTACCATATACATTTACATTCAGTTAGACTTTTAGCAGATGCTTTTATCCAAAGTGACTTAAAAAAGTCACAAGCAATTTGTGATACAAGCCAACAAAATTCATAGTACGCAATCCCAAATTTAAAGTATAGAGTTAGAGTAGTAAGTGTCTAAATTATCATGAAATGTAATAATAATTTTTAAATACTTTACATTTGAATTACAATATCTAAAATTAATTAAGGATGATCAATAAATACTAATACAACAAAATTTGATATTAGTTTTTTAATTTCATTAGATTTTTTTGCTAAAGAGCCATTGCTAAAGAAATCATTTAATCACATGATGTTTTCTTTGTGCTCAATATAACTGAGCACAAATGTCAACATCCTCATATGCTGTATGTCTAGGAATTAAGTCACACCAAACATAAGCTCCGTGTAATTCAATAGATCAGCCATTTTATTCCAACCCCTATTCCTATATCATATATATGTACAGTATTTTTCAAGTGCATTGAGTGTTATGAAGCTCTGATGTCTAGTACTGTTTAAGTGTAGTACTGTGTCACATACTGCACACCTGCCATATCAGGGGCCTTAATGGGACCAAGACTGATGCTGTATACTGATATTCAACTGAACTATTCACTCTCATTCAAATGATATACAATGATATTCTATTACTAGATTACTTAGTGTACTGTTCATTGATATTCTATTATTCTGTTATACTACTATTCACTGTTTCGACTGAACACGAGACATTTGGACTGGGCAGCCAGGATATGACCTATGTGCCTGTCATTGCTTTTGTCTGTGATGATCAAATACAGATTTAGGACTAATTTGAAAGCATGTAAATATGGTGTAAAATGACATGAAAATGATGTAAACGTTATAATGGCTGTTGTATATTTCAGCCATAATAGTGGTGTGATTTTAGATGACTATGACTGTTTTCAGGTTAGTATCACTAAAATGTAGCTGCAATTAATATATTTCTGACTTCCATAGCCTACAAGTACTAATAAATATAATTCTGTATTAATCTTTATCTATCCAGTCATATTAAATATATTTTTATCATGTACTTTAGAAACGTTAGATTACCTGACAAAAATATCAGATGTACAAATACCGTCCTAACATCAACAGATTAAAAGATGCAAGTTGTCTGACCATTTGGCATCCAATTATCATGTCTGCATTAATGATGGCTGCATGGCTCTTGGCAGCTGCACAAATATTTATGACAGGCAGCCAACCTCTTTCGTCGTCTCTATGCAACCGGGGTTATCTGAGCATTCATCTGAGGCCTTTGCTGCAGAAATGATGCAGGTGGCATCAGAGAAAGAGGAAAGCACAACACACATCTGCTGCTGGCGCACACATGTGTTTTCATTTTGGTGTAACCATATTTTGAACATTTAAGTTGTTTACCAAGGGCAATAACATTTTACAGGTATTTTCGGGCGTAATCTTTTCAAGTCTTGCGCAAGGCAAACTGTACACTAGTACCACTAGTACAAATAGCTTCATTCAGTTTCTAACCATTTTTTTTTAAAGACATAACACTTTTTTGTAGCGTGTTTGCTATTTAAATATATGATAAATATTAAACTTGTTATATTTTCTCGAGTAATGATCAACGTACTGTTCCCTACTGATAACAATGAAAAGTTGCGTACGGTTGTTATGGTTGCCTCCTCAGGTTTATGCAAATTCTGTTTGCTAGCATCTATTTGGCAACAGGTGATGCCTCCTCTGACTTGTAACTTAACGTTTGTAGTTACTGAAATTTTAACAAACGCTGAAACGCAAATACACTTGTATACAGTGGTGTGATAAGGTTTTTGCCCCCTTCCCGTTTTTTTAATTTTTTGCATATTTGTCCCACTTAAAAGATTCAGATCATCAAAGTAATTTTAATATTACACAAAGATAATGCAAGTAAATACAAAATGCAGTTTTTAAATGATGATTTTATTTATTAAGGGAAAAAAGCTGTCCAAACCTACGTGGCCCTACGTGAAAAATGAATTGCCCCCTCCTGTTAAATCATGAAAGAACTGCAATTAACCACATTATTTTAGAAAGCTGAGTTAAATTTCACTAGCCACACCCAGGCCTGATTACTGCCAGACCTGTTGAATCAATAAGGACTCTTAAGAGCCCCCCCATCCACCCTTCCACTGAAGAATCCAGCTGTTGACATTGTTTTGGAACATGGAAGCCTGTTTCTAGCTGGTTATTTGCTAGTGCAAGCTAGTAGACTGGTTTAGACCAGTAACAAACCAACTACCAGTTAGTCCTACTGCTGGCTTTGGAATATGGTGGCAGTTACCCTGTTGAAAAAAAACTGCATATGCTGGTTAGGTATGTTTTGATGCTGAGATGCTGGTTTATTCTGGTCCTTTGCTGGTTTAAGCTGGTCATGGTCCTTTGCTGGTTTAAGCTGGTCCTTCTGCTGGTTTAAGCTGGTCCTTTTGCTGGTTTAAGCTGGTCCTTTTGCTCGTTTATGCTGCAAAGGACCAGCGTAAACCAGCAAAAGACCAGCTTAAACCAGCATCCCAGCGTCAAAACATACCTAACCAGCATATGCTGTTTTTTTCAACAGGGTAATTATCAATTATTTAACCATGTTCCAAATCACAGCTGCCATTAAATGGCTTTTCCAACATGGTTGGAGGCACCCTCCATAATTCGCACCCCTGAAATATCCACAAAAAGACATTACCCAGTCCTCGAAGTGTTTGCTGCCGTTTTGCAGCAATTCCTCGAACTGAATGGTGCAGTTGGCTACAAAGTCGTCGTAGCCAATCGGCGCGTCGTGAAACACCGACAGCTCGATCTTGCGGCCGTCGTGCACCTCGATCACAAACTCATCGTGCCAGACGGGACTGTTGGTCTTCTGCTTGGTCGAGGTCTGACCCACGCGAAAATCATCTACGTTGAGGGCGATGTACGTGTCCAGCAGGAAGGTTTGCGCCTTGGGACCGACGGCGTGTCTCAGAGACCAGGCTGTGGGCTTCAGGTCCAAAGCCTCGCAGATCTTAATCTTCAGCAGACCGTTAAAAAACACCATGGCCACTTTTGAAAGCTTTAGTAACAATATTCCACTTCAGCGCCTGGTTAATTATTCAACCAGTGTATGCCACGGTCCACCGGTTTGTGATTGTTTCTCCTTATGAAATAACGGTAAATGCCCTTCTTCGTCCTCGTGGATCTGCATGCAAAGTGTAGAAGGTCCTCCAGACAGAAAGAGAATCTATTGCTATGATCTACGGACAACCTGCATGTGATCTTGAAGCTGTCCAAACGGCGCTCTAGGCAGTCAGCAATGCACGTTGGATTGAAAAAGGACAGCTACAGTGTCTCAGCAGCGATACGACCAGCATTCCACGCCTCAAAATACGCCAGAAATATATGCTGGATCTCCTCAGCGTGAGCAGCCCGTTCCCTCGTCTGGCTGGAGCGCTGGATGTGTCTCCTCCGCGCATTGGGAGGGAAGTTATCCTCGCAAAAGCGTCTTTCGGTTCGCCCTAGACAGGAGAACCAGTGTTTACAAGGGTTTCGTACTCACTTGCTTTTTCCAGGATCCCTGTTTGTTCGTCGGTACTCAGTTTCCTGCAGACCTGCCTCTTTTTCTCCCGACTGTGTGTGTGTGTGTGTGTGTGTGTGTCTGAAGGCTGGTCCAGGAAATGCGCAAAACACGTCAGTTATTGCGCGGAGGGCTGAGTGAGTGCGGCACTGCTGGAACCGCTGCTTCGGCTCTCTGGTCAAGCATCACCCACAGAGCTGTAAAGATGAAGCATGTGTGTGTGTGTGTGTGTGTGTGAATAATGCACCCTGCTGAAGTCATGCAGTGCAGACGACCATACCATGGCGTACGAAGACCGCCGGTCTTAGTCATAATTCTTAGTAATTTTTGACTTGTTTATATCATTAATGATTATTTGAAATTACGTGATCTACCTCCATGCCATTGCCATTTCAGTAGCAATGTATGGATGTGCTCCTTTTCTTGCGTAAGGTTGTTTACAATGCTGTACTGTGAGAACTGCAGTGGAAAATAAAAAACTCTGAAAATTCACAAAGGCGAATACAAAGTTATTGTAGCAAGTTAAGTGGATGCAAGCCAAGATGACCTAATTTTACAGTGTGTGATTGCAAGGGGGAAAAAAGTAATTTAACTAGATGAAGACATGTTTTTGTGTATCATGTACATTAAAATAAATTAAATTAATTCATGTACATAAATTTAAAAAAAAAGTGATAATTTGTTACACTTGATCTGAGGACAGACTGACAACAGGGTTGTTCTTGAAAATGTGATTATGTTGAGGTCCACCTTCTCAACATCAATAGTCAACCAAAAGCGCCATCTCGTGAATGGAATTTCTATTACAGCATACAGGTATCTAAAAAAATTAGAATATCATGAAAAAGTCAATATTTTTTGTCACTCATTTTAGAAAGTGAAACCCATAAATTATATAGATTCATTACACATACACTCTAAAAATGCTGGGTTGTTTCAACCCAATGTTGGGTCAAATATGGACTAACCCAACTGTTGGGTTAAAAAGCTAATTTAAAAATGTAACCAAAATTTAACCCAACAG